GTTTTCTTGGCAGTAGAGACTTGTAAAACTTGTATTGTCTAGACGGAAGTTTTGTTATGTAATTTGGCTTTCACATTCAAATGTGTTTTTTTTCATTTGCGTATAATTCATGAATCATGCTTTTTTATTATTATTATTACACACTTTTGTTATTACACTTGCCGTGCTGTCTGTTTATATGCTCTGGAATCTTTGAGGCTTAATATCTTCGGATGTACAAAGCCTAACGAGCTGAAACTTTCTCCACAGACTCGCCGCCTCGAGTGACAATTAAATATTTAATTAAAAGAAGCGGTCCAGGTCCCGGCCCCATGGTGATCCTATTCGTGTTTTTAAATACATTTAAAAAAAAAGTGCATTTTACCCTGCCCCCCCCCCCCCCATTCGTGAAATTACGAATGGTCGCGCCCACCCACGACCGGCAAACGCCTGGTCCAATCAGAGCGGCTGTTGCTGGCCAGCCTATGACCAATGAAAAGAGCGCTTACGTCGCCGCTCGTCGTGGCGCCGGAGCGGCCGCTGTGGCTTCACTCTTCCTTAGCGCGAGAGAGCAACAAGTACACAAAATAACAATTAGGTAATACAAAACAACAACAACAACAAGATTTTCAGTGCACTCGAAAGTATAAAATACATTCTTTAGACCCCGGAATTAATCGAATTTGATGTGCTCAATAAAAAAGTGAGTGGCTTCCTTTCGACATGTTCACATTTGTTGATGCGAGCCACGCTTTTATTGAGCACATCAAATTCGATTAATTCCGGGGTCAAAATTATTCATTTTATACTTTTGAGTGCAAACAAAAGTGTGCGTGCATTGAGAAGCTTGTTTTTTTTCTTCCCAATTTGTTTTTGGACTGAAGAGAGACACGCCACCGCAGTTGGTCCAATATACAGTAAAACCTTGGATTGCGAGTAACTTGGTCTGCGAGTGTTTTGCAAGACGAGCAAAATTTTTAAATATTAATTTTATAAACGAGCGAGAGGGTCTTGCAATACGAGTAGTACGTACGCATACGCTTTGTACTGCCGAGCGTCACGTCATCACAACTGATATACGAGTGCTTTGATATACGAGTGCTTTGGATTACAAACACTTTTCCGGAACGAATTATGCTCGCAATCCAAGGTTTTACTGTATTTCATTCGCAGATCGGGCACGTGGTTAAGTTAAATAATGGCCGACGGAGTTCCAGGAGTCTCGTCGACGATCGCTGTCGTCCAACGCAGCAGTCTGTTTTGGAGCAGAACTCGCGTCGCTCTGATACGCGAAGAGTTACGGGCTAGCCTTCGATTTATTAAAACGGAGAGCTGGGTCTACTATTTGTTCTCATTATCGCGAGCCTCGGTCTGTCCACTGCTGGATCGAGGCGTTGCCATCGCCCCTCTCCTGCAATCCGGCTCAACTCCTGGAATGTGAACCGATCACACCGACTCCTTGATATATAGATGAAGGCAATGATCCCCCACGTAGCCTTAACATACCGTACCTGTAAACCCATACGGTGCACCCATATTCTTGTGCAGGGAAATTGAGTTTTCAGGCCCAAATGGCATACATCCGTTTCAATATGGGCAAAAAAGAATAATACGGCCAAATAAAAAAAGTCGTAGGACAGATGTTTTTTTATTTACTCTGGAGAGTAGCTATCCCCATAGCAGCCGACAAATTTGATCCGGAATTTAGACACTCTTGGTACAGATCACAAATTACACATCCACATCCGGTTTTTCAAACAAGCCACACCATAAAAGTCTGTACGCAATGTGTTCATGTACAAACAGGATTGGAATGTACAGTACATGAATGCTAGTGTATTGTTTAACCCTTCATAATTTTCTGTGTTTATTATTGTACATTTACAACATGTGCGTGCATCCACATCAAGCAAGCAGTAGCATCAGCATGCAAGATCAGACAGTATAGCATGATAAGTAGCATCATTGAAACCAATTATCAACACATTCCTGCGGAGGGAGCTGGTGGGAACGTTGGGTTGCTCGGTCAATGGCCAGGGTCAACGGCGGCGTGGTGTATTCCGCAAATATGCCAGACTGTGAGGGCGGGCACAAGCCGGCGTGAGTAGGTTAAACATTGAGTTTTATAAGGGCACCACGGGGTGACCAGCCCCTCCCTAACCAGCCCCACCCCTCCCACCCCTCCCACCCCCCACCCAGCCCCACCCTCCCCACCCCCCACCCAGCCCCACCCTCCCCAACCAGCCCCACCCTCCCCACCCAGCCCCTCCCCACCCTCCTCACCCAGCCCCTCCCCACCATCCACTCCCCACTCTCCCCAGCCCCTCCCCTCCCCATCCAGCCCTTCCCCACCCTCCCCTCTCCACCCAGCCCCACCCCTCCCATTTTATCCGGGTGTCCGGATACACGTGGACAGACACCCACAGACATACACTATTAATCGTCTGCCTCCTGTGAATTAATCCCGGATGGGCTTCCAGTCCACTACGTTTCCTACCAGTAAAATCAATACAACAGTTTTTTGTTTGGAACGTAATTTTTGTCTCTTTGTGTTTCTCTCTCTTGTGATAGGACTTTGTAGGATGCACGTTGAGATTTAGGACACGGGGTGACCGATAAGGTCTGAATTGGTCTGTAATGAGGTAGCCACTGATAAGGGGTTGACAGGTATGAAATACTGTTGGGGCAAGTGCTGTTAGCGAATAGCAACTATGAAGGCCGGCACGGCGCACGACGGGGTTGGCTACGTACGGTGCGAAAGAAGTTAATTTATTATCGCGTATTTTAGTTGATTTGTCTTATTGTGTGTGCTGATTCGGTCGCATCATCTGTGAGTACGAAAGCGTACGCGTTTGTGGGAAGCATATATATGGGTTTTTTGTCTAACCAGCGCTGTTATATTTGTCACGATAGGGGTTTCTTGTCGATTACAGCTTCGCTGAACAGGGGGCTGAACATCGTCAATGGCTGCACGTGGCTTATTCGAACCACTAGAGGCGCCAATACAATGACAACAATGCATCAAGAGAGCGGATGAAACCGCTGCTAGCAGTTCAGATAATCGTCACTGGTGTTGGCGGTGAGCAGGAACCAAACTCTACCCAATGTGCCACCGCTCCCCACCATCTACACAAGAGACACAGACACGTACCTATTTTTCCACTCGACAACCAAGCCGTGCCGGAGTCACACCGAGGCTCCAGGTTGTCCCCTCCCCCCCCCCCCCCCACTGCTCAACCCGAGCCGTGCCGCTTTACGTCACACGCAAGCGAACGAGTCGGGTGCGTCGAGAAGGCAAGGATGTGACGCACGGGAAAAGACCAGGGAACGGCAGAGGGAAGAGAGTAGATAAAGAATGGAGGCAGTAAGAGGAAGAGGATGGGAAATGAACAGAGAAACGGGAGTAGCAGGGTATGGAGAGATGAGAGGGAGGTGGAAGGAGCCTCCACGCTGCTGCTGCACTAAGAGGCGGCGTCTGTTTTCACAGTGGGCGGGGAGACGGGAGGGTTTCAGCGTGGGGGGTGACCATACAAGCCACGTGATGTACGGTGAGGCTTGAGCTGGTTTCGATAGACAGAGTTCTATAAATAAGAGAGGGGTTCAGAGTGGGTGTGGTCACAACAAGCCACGTGGTTTACGGGAGGCTTCAGCTGATGATAATAAACAGATCTATAGATGAGAGAGGGGGGGGGGGTCAGAGTGGGTGTGGCCACAACAGAAGCCACGTGGTTTACGGGAGTCTTCAGCTGATGTAGATAAAAAAACAGATCTATTGATGAGAGGGGGGGGGGGTCAAAGTGGGTGTGACCACAACAGAAGTCACGTGGTTTACGAGAGGCTTTTGCTGATTTTGATAATGGTGGTTTTATTTTATTTTTACAGTGGAGTGGTAACGAGAAGGCTGATACGTCATTGTACATATACGTATGCTTTTTGCCGATGGGCTCTGGCCATATCAGACAGCATGTGCCCGATATATTCAGATCTCGCAAGCTAAGCAGGTTGGAGCCTGGACACACAGATACACCACACACATAGCTAGATAAAGATCCCCTCCAGATAGCCTTGACATACTTTTGGGGCAAGTGCTGTTCGCGAGCATCTATGAATGCCGGAACGGTATACAAGGGGGTGGGTGGCCAGCTGCCAACACAGACAGAGAGAGACACACATACGGACGAGAGGCAATCAAGTAACCAAATTCAACACTGCCAATTCGTTGGTGACAAATACGGCGAGCACAGAGAGTGTGGCTGATCCATCTTCTCGGTGCCCGTTGCCAGCAAGCTGTTAATGTGACACGGCTACTCACGTGATAACAGCTGCCCGAATAAACAACATCAACAATTATAACAAATGGCTCTGCAAACAGCAACACACGTGTGTGTGTATATATCTACGTTTCTATCATTATTACGTATAGCCTTGACCGACTGTTGGGGCAAGTGCTGTACGCGAGAAACGAGGACAAAGATCCCCCGTATAGCCTTGACAGACTGTATGGGCAAGTACTGTTAACGAGCACCTATGAAGGCCAGAACGCCACACGAGGGGGTGGGTGGTCAGCACCACGCCCGACCGCCTTTGGCTCCCCAGTGGCGATGTTTACACACCGCACCAGGTACTCATTTGAGGCTGAGTCGACCTAGGGGAGGCCCAGGACCGGTTCAGATAATCGTCACTGGTGTTGGCCGTGCACGGGAATCGAACCCGGGTCGCCAGGTTCATAGCGCAGCGTAGCGCTAACCGTGACACTACCGCTCCCCACGCACACACACGCACGCACACACACTTACCCACACACACGCACATACATACACGTACCCACACACACACACGCAAAAGCAGTAAGCCGATATTTATTTATTTATTCCTTCCCGGCCACGATTGTTGCGCAATTTTCGCCGGTGCCAAGGCCCCTCCCCCGGGGACATTTAAAGGGGAGACGAAGCGGCCAGCAACATCCAGCGCGGTGAGAGAGAGAGAGAGACCCAGAGAGAGAGACGAGAGAGAGCGAGAGAGACCAGAGAGAGAGAGACGAGAGAGAGACACGAGAGAGAGAGAGCGAGACCCAGAGAGAGCGAGACGAGAGAGAGAGACGAGAGAGAGACGAGGCCCCTCTTTCCCCCTTCCTCTGGCCGACCGCGCAAGGCAGCCGGAGCGCCCTCGCCCCGACTCAGGAACCCGGCAGAGGAACCCGGCAGAGGAACCCGAACCCGGCAGAGGAACCCGGTAGAGGAACCCGGCAGAGGAACCCGAACCCGGCAGAGGAACCCGGCAGAGGAACCCGGCGCCGCAGGTACCAAACACGCAGTGGCGGCACGACGATGGTCGACTGCACTTTGTTCTTGTCGATTATAAGACGCGTATTCTCTAACTGTTTTCCGGATTATTAGACGTGCATTTTTTAACATTCTCTCGATCATAAGATGCGTATTCTCTAACGTGTTTTCCGGATTATAAGGCGCGTCATTCCTACATTTCTTTCGATTATAAGACGCGTATTTTCTCAAATGTTTTCCCGATTATAACACGCGTATTTTCTAACATATTCTCCGGATTATAAGACGCGTCTTTTCTGGCATTTCCTCTCGCTTATAAGACGCGTATTCAGTAACATGTTATCCGGATTATAAGACGCGGCTTTTCTAACATTATCTCGATTATAAGACGCGCATTTTTTAACATGTTCCCCCGGTTGTAAGACGCGCCTTGCCAACCGTGCCTTCTGTTTCCTGAAAGTGAAAGTTGTGGGGAGAGGTCGCGTCTTACAATCTGGTAGGTTTGAGGGTGCGTCTTACAATCCGATAGGCGTGTGTGTGTGTCAGTGTGTGTGTCATTGTGTGTATGTGTGTCAGTGTGTATGTGTCATTGTGTGTGTGTATGTCAGTTATGTGTGTCAGTGTGTGTGTCAGTGTGTGTGTCATTGTGTGTATGTGTGTCAGTGTGTATGTGTGTCAGTGTGTGTGTGTCAGTGTGTGTGCGTCAGTGTGTGTATGTATGTCAGTATGTGTGTCAGTGTGTATGTGTGTCAGTGTGTATGTGTGTCAGTGTGTGTGTCAGTGTGTGCGTCTTTGGGAGCGGTAGTGTAGCGGTTAACGCGCTGCGCTACGAACCTGGCAACCCGAGTTCGATTCATCACGTCCACCACCAGTGACGATTATCTGAACCGGTTGTGGGCCTCCGCTAGGTCGACTCAGCCTCAAATGAGTGCCTGGTGCAGTGTGTAAACATCGCCACGAGGGAGACAAAGGCGGCCGGGCGTGGTTGCTGGCCACCCACCCCCTTGTATGCCGTGCCGGCCTTCATAGGTGCTCGCTAGCAGCACTTGCCCCTACAGTCTGTTACAGGCTACACACGGGGGGATCTTTGACTTTTACTTCACACGTAGCCGTGGTATGGGTGTCGGCTGCGGAGAGCGCCGTCTGTAACAGCTGACCGCTCAAAATTGCATCGCCTATCCCATCCTCGAAATGGTAGTCTGTGACAAACCCGCCAAACTTCATAGGTGCTGCTCGCTAACAGCACTTGCCCCAACAGTCCTTTTTTTGAAGGCCATACGGGGTGGTGGGTGAGTTGAGATCTTTGTCTTTACCCTCTTACAGCAGCCGTATCCATGAGGTCGTGCAGCAGTCATTCTCTATCCGGATTGATCGGTGGGTTGCGCACATTGTACGGCAGCTGACGCCCGTAGCCCACAGCCTGCAGTAAGGCGAAGAGGGGGTTGGTTGTTTGCATGCCATCATTGGTAGGGTGTGGGCGGGAGTGGTTGGCGCCCTGTGTTAATAAAAGTTTGTCCGCCACGGCCCGTGTCACGTTTGGGGGTTAGAGCGATGTGAAGTCGCGCACCAGCCGTGGTGCACGCTGGCTGCTGCTGCTGTATATCCCCATTCTCGCCGTGTGTATAGACAAACTCTGGCCGTAGGTGCGTCGCTATGCCTGTCTTACGTCTGCCGTGAACATTGGCGCGTGGCCAAACATGTAAAGTCCGCAATGCGCTCGATTTGCTCAGTTCTCGCGAGCCAAGCAGGGGTTTGAGTCCGGATAAGGGGCCGTCCATAAATGACGTCACACACCTATTTTTTTTGGGGGGGGGGTCAGTCATTTGTGACGATGTGTGACGAAGGGGGGGGGGTGTTGAGAAATGTGACGTCACATCAAAATGCGCAACTTTAAATAAATATAGACAACACGTTGTAACTTAATTAAATAGACTTTTTAAATAAATGTTTTCTCCTACAACATCAGAGTGCAGCGCCACATTAAATACGCACTACAAAGACAATAGTTTAAAGTTATTTGAAGCATGTTTTTTTTTTGGGGGGGGGGGGGCAGAGCTTTGTGACGTCATATTTGAGGGGGGGGGTCTGACTTTTTGTGACGCCGTGTGACGACGAGGAGGAGGGGGGGGTCAAAAATCGTCCAAAATCGCGTGACGTCATTTATGGACGGCATTAACAGGTGCTATAGGCTGCGGGCGCCGTCCCCCCATTCACTGGCGCTACTCGCTTAACGGCACTTGCCCCGTCGGGCTGTTAAGGCTATACGGGGGGGGGGGGGGGGGGTGGGATCTTTGCCTTTATTTGGAAACGCACAGAGAGAGAGAAGGGGAGGGGGGTGAATTCCCCTCTGATTGGCTTGAATCACAACGATCGAGGTGGCATCCTAACTCGCGTACAGCTGGGACGCGACAGCTGTTGGCACTCGCACGGCAATCGGCCACAACACAACGCTGGCAGCAACTTCCCCTTATGTCGACACGACAACCACCCCTCCTGTGGGGGGGGGGGTTATTTATTTAGTTATTTCATAAAGGTACAAAGATCCCATTGCATTGCCTTAACAGACTGTGGGTGCGGTTAGCGGTCACGAATGAAGGCCGGCACGGCACACGAGCGGGTGGGTGGCCAACGCCACGCCCGGCCGCCTTTGTCTCTTGCCAGCGGCGATGTTTTCTCATTCGAGGCTGAGTCGACCTGGGGGAGGCTTAGGAGACAGATCAGAGATGGTCGTCACCCGTGTTGGCAGTGAGCAGGGGTGTCAAAACGCGGGTCGTCGAGTTTGTAGCGCGGCGCCCTAACCGCTCTGCCCCCCGCTCCCCACTAACTACGCAAGAGACACAGGCACACATACGTATTTTTCCACTGGAACAACCGAGCCGTGCCGGAGCCATGCCGAGGCTCCATGTTAAAATAATTAACCCTGCCCCTGGCCCTTGCTTAGCCCCGAGTCACTCTCAGACGTCTTGTGGTGAGGCCAGCGTATCGCGGGTTCGGTTCCGGCTCGGCTCGGCAAAATAGCCAGTGGGAAATTAACAACAACAACAAAAGCCGCACCGTGAGGGACCCGTGCTGGCTCGGCTCGGATGTTGCCAGTGGTACGAGGAGGCAAAGAGAGAGGCGAGGTAGCCAAAAAAGGTGGCTCGGCACGGACAGAGACACCGGGACGGCACTGCCCAGGGCCTGGGCTCCAATTCTGGGTTTCTGAGCCGTACAAATGACGGGGATTCGAGTGCAAGCGAGCTGACGGTCCCCACTCGGTCACCAGTCACCTACACAGAGACCCGTAGACTAGCATAGAGACCCGTAGACTAGTTAGAGACATTCATAGACTTACGTGGAGATCCATAGACTCACACAGAGACCCATAGACTCACATACAGACACACGTAGACTCACACGAAGACCCATAGACGCACATAGAGACCCATCGACTCACACAGAGACCCATAGACTCACATAGAGACACACACAGACTTACAGAGAGACCCATAGACTCACACAGAGACCCATAGACTCACACAGAGACCCACAGACTCACACAGATACCCATAGACTCACACAGAGACCCAGAGACTCACACAGAGACCCATAGACTCACATAGAGACACACACAGACGCACACAAAGACCCACAGACTCACACAGAGACCCATAGACTCACACAGAGACCCATAGACTCACACAGAGACCCATAGACTCACACAGAGACCCATAGACTCACACAGAGACCCATAGACTCACATAGAGACACACACAGATGCACACAAAAACCCACAGACTCACACAGAGACCCACAGACTCACATAGAGACCCATAGACTCACACAGATACCCATAGACTCACACAGATACCCATAGACTCACACAGATACCCATAGACTCACACAGAGACCCAGAGACTCACACAGAGACCCATAGACTCACACAGAGACCCATAGACTCACACAGAGACCCATAGACTCACATAGAGACACACACAGACCCATAGACTCACACAGAGACCCAGAGACTCACACAGAGACCCACAGACTCACACAGAGACCCACAGACTCACACAGAGATCCATAGACAACAACAACAACCGCCATTCGCCACTAAGTGGCGGTGACGTCACCACGACGCTTGTGCCAGGCTATGTGCACCCTGAGGCCACGTGAAGTGTCGAACGCCCGCTGGCAGGAGGTCACGGGGCAGACCCAGGTACCACGGGTCGACTGACTGAGATGACTGGCTGATGCACCACCTGTGCCAACCTGCTGTGCTTTAGCCACCTGGCGCTCCGCTCGTTGTTGTGAGCATCGCTCCTCCGCCCTCCGTTGTTGTTGGAGGGCGACTACCTCCAACTGCCCAGTAGCATCCTTCACGAGCCTCCTCCACAGAGGCCGATCTTGACACCGCTGGTACCAGTCATCGGCAAGTCCACTCAGCTCCACGTCCTCCTCTACCACATCACTCCATCTCTTCTCTAGCCCGTGCCGCGCCCGCTTAGCCCCCTCAATCCGGCCGAAGAAAAGCTGTTTCGGCATGCGTTGGCTGGGCATGCGGGCTACATGACCCAGCCATCGCAGCCTTCCCTGCCGGAGGAGCTCACCGATGGGACCTTGCCCAGATCTTTCAAGGATTTGTGAGCTCCTCACACAATACAGTCTGGTTAAACCCAGGATGGATCGTAGGCAGGCCAGCCTAAATGTTTCTAACCGGCGAAGATGTTCCATTAGGGGGGTCCACGTTTCGCAAGCGTAGAGAAGGGAGGGAATGACCGTGGCCGAGAAGACCTGAAGCTTAGTGCGGAGTGACAGACCAGGTAGCTTCCACACAGCGTTACGCAACCGATGAAAAGATATTGCCACTCGACTGATTTGGAGTGAGACCTCTGCTGTTAAACTGGAGCCAGTCATAAGCACACTGCCCAGGTATGGGAAACTCTCCACTCTCTTCACAACTGCCCCATCACCGATTGGGAGTTGTGGGGGTGGAGTGTCCGATGGTACAAAATACCCAGGCAGGTGCTTAGTTTTG